AATATTAAAATATCTCCGCTAATTAATTCCCTTTTTTATGTGCACGAATTTCGTGCACCGGGCTACTAGTTATGAATAAAGATGCTGTGTACAAATATTTTTGTGTGCCTGGTGCTTTCATTTCTTTTGAGTAAATGATAACTATTTAAGAAATTGTTCTATCATGTGTAAATGTTAATTTAACCTAATAAACTTCTTTTAAACTGTTTTCCAAAATGGTTATACCATTTTACACTCCCATCAGCAATGTAATGAGTTCCCATTCCTCATGTTCATTTATCAAATTATAAAAATATCATGGAAAATAATACAAGAACAAATAGTAATATAAGAATAAACTATGTATTTTGCATATTCACACCTATAAATCTACTTTTGCCCCACCCTATATTTTGTATAAGTAACTCTGATATGGATTTCTTAAAATGGGATTTTTGTGTGAAATGGTAAGTGCATATTGAATTTGCTAGATTTTTCTGGACTTTTCTCCATAGAGTGTGTACTGTTTTTATATTACCACTACTAATGCATGAGAGAGCATATCTCTCTTCCATCCCACCATCAGCATGTGGTGAATTTTTGCCATTTTGATAGGTACAAAATGAAATCTTAATATAGTTTATTTTGTATTTCTCTTACTTTGAGTGCTTTTTTTTCTTTGAACTACCCATATCTCTGCCAGGTTATAGAAACTATATATTAAAGATATCAGGTTATGCCGAAACCGGTTTGGCTCAGTGGATAGAGCGTCGGCTTGCGGACTGAAAGGTCCCAGGTTCGATTCCGGTCAAGGGCATGTACCTGGGTTGTGGGCACATCCCCAGTGGGAGATGTGCAGGAGGCAGCTGATCGATGTTTCTCTCTCATCGATGTTTCTAACTCTCTATCTCTCTCCCTTCCTCTCTGTAAAAAATCAATAAAATATATTTAAAAAAAAAAAAGATATCAGGTTATTGTCTTTTTGTTTTTTCAAACATACTATGGGTACATCTTGAGTTGTGCATGTATTTAATAGTCTGTGTATTTTGTTCCATTTTGCTGATGGGCTCACTGCATCAGGATTAGATAAATTTTTAAGAACTGATACATATTAGGTTATTAACCCTTTATAAATGTAAGTTTCAAACAGTTTTCCCAAATTCATTTGTCTTTTTATTTAGACTCGCAGTGGTTCTCAACCTTCTGGCCCTTTAAATACAGTTCCTCATGTTGTGACCCAACCATAAAATTATTTTCATTGCTACTTCATAACTATAATGTTGCTACTGTTATAAATCGTCATGTAAATATCTGATATGCAGGATGGTCTTAGGCAACCCCTGTGAAAGAGTCGTTCAACCGCCAAAGGGGTTGCGACCCACAGGTTGAGAACCGCTGGTTTAGAGTATCTTTTTCCATGATTCCTCAAGTTTTCTTTTTTTTTATCATTAAATATATCACTTTTTCCCTATTGTTTGGGATTTGGATCATAGGCATGTTTCCTCCCTAATCACAGAGGAACTTGATCATATTTCCTTCTAGTACTTGTATAATTTCATTTTCTTAATATATCTTTATTGATTTTAGAGAGAGGAAGGGAGAGGTGTAGAGAGATAGAAACATCTATGAGAGAGAAATATTGATCAGCTGCCTGCTGCACATGCCCTATCGGGGATTGAGCCCGCAACCCAGGCATGTGCCCTGACTGGGAATTGAATTGGTGACTTCTTGGTTCATGGCTCAGTGCTCAACCACTGAGCCACATCAGCCATGCTAGTTTCATTTTTTATATTTGTATTTTTGACCCATATGTAATGCTGATGTTCAGTTTGAGGAACAGGTGTTATTTTATATATATTTTTTTCCCTAAATAGCTATTGGTGTCTCCCAGCAACTCTTAATTATGTGAAATCTAATTTTTTATCATGGATTTGAGATGCAGCTTTAATCCATTTAGCAGTAATAGTTATGTAATTGGTTCAGTGACTTCACTAAACATGAGACAGCTACTTAAAAGTTACATAGGGGGCATGGGGCTATACTTTTTATAACTATAAAATGATAAAATTTTACACATTTCTTTTCCTTTAATTATATGATAAATTCCAAGGTACACATACGTGGATTTTTTTTAACTTTCAGATTATTGATTTATTTGTCCTATTTTTATTATTGTACTGACAATGGTAACTTTGTGTTATCTTTTGGTATTTGGTAGAGCAAATGTTCTAATTTCCTCACTATTTCTTGTTTCTCTGATGTTTTGGATGGTGCTATCCTTATAAATTTACTCAGTCAACTATTAACTTTAATATTTTGCACATTATAGTCTTACTAGAGGCCCGGTGCATGAAATTCGTGCACGGGTAGGGTCCCTAGGCCTGGCTGGCGATCAGGGCTGATCTGTGGGGAGACCAGTGGAGTGCTCGGGGGCCCCCCACTGGCACCCAACTTGGCCAGCTTGGCATCACTCGCTCACTGGCCCCGCCCCCCACTGCTGCTGCAGGTTGCCTCCCTCTGTGAGGCGACCGGTGGGGCGATTGGGTGGCTCCGCACTGGCACATGCCTTGGCTGGCCTGAGGCCTGCAAGCTGGGGGCAGCTCCTGCATTGAGCGTCTGCCCCCTGGTGGTCAGTCCTGACTGGTCGTTATGCCAGTCATTCAGCAGTTTGGTCAATTTGCATATTAGGCTTTTATTATATAGGATGATGTTTGTCTAGTAAATAATTGTGGAAGTTGGATCATTGTTAGTGGTGATAAAGAGAGAATAATTAAGTATTTCTTTGTAGTTCAACAAATATTTATGTAATATTAACTGTAGAAGGCAGGATGTAGGACAGAGAGGCAATACGAAAATGAATGAGACACATTGTGCCCACCTGTCTAAGGGAGAGAGTGAAATAATTGCAATATAATATAGTAAATACTGCAGGATTTTTTGAAGCATGAAGGGAGAGTTACCAGCTCTTCCTAATAGAGTTAAGGTTTTATGTTATATCTAAACCTTGAAAGATTTTCAGTGGGAATTTCTTAAGCAGGTAAGAAAGGATATGGAACTTGAAAATTTTAATGTAAAATAAGGGTACAAAGTTATTAAATAAGGTCTTGAGTAACATTGAAGATTTTTTGTATAGGTAGATTATTAATTCCACTTTATATGGAATTTAGTCCAATCTCATTTTAGGAATGAGAAGTTAAGTGACTTTCCTGTGGTCATGTTAAATGAAAGAACTGTAATTAAAGCACTTCGTTCCCTGCAAATTCCAGAGCAGGGAAGTTGGTAAAAGTATATGGTGCAGCCTTGAAAGTATGTTAGAAATGGAATACAAATAACAATTAACAAATACTGTTTTTATTGCAGTGCAGTGTTAATTTAGGGAGGTACAAAAGACATGTAAATGTCTATTTAGTTATGAAAGTTTTCTAGCAAGAAGTTAAATTGGTTCAGTGACTTCCTAAAAGTGAGACAGCTGCTTAAAAGTTATATAGGGGGGCCCGGCCAGCATGGCTCAGTGGTTGGGCCAGCATGGCTCAGTGGTTGAGCATCGACCTAAGAACCAGGAACTCACAGTTCGATTCCCAGTCAGGGCACATGCACGGGTTGCAGACTTGATTCCCAGTGCCCTGGGGTGTGCAGGAGGGAGCCGATCAATGATTCTCTTTCACCGATGTTTCTATCTCTCCCTCTCCCTCTCTGAATTCAATAAAAATACATTATGAAAAAAAGTTATATAGGGGACATGGGGAGAATTGGCTAGAACTTAATTTTCCTTAGAAGTCTTGTGAAATCAATTTTGGAGTTTTTTTCTTCAAATTGGTGAATTTAAGCAAGTTAAAATAGCTAATACAGTGGTTCTCAAGCTTGGCTGCACATTAGAATCACCTGGGAATCTTTAAAATCCTGATTTCTGGGCCTCATCCTCCGGAAATTCTATTTCTTTGTTACTAATGTTGTGGCCCCACCCCATAACAAAGAAACAGAATTTCCGGAGGATGAAGCCCAGAAATCAGGATTTTAAAAAGATTCCCAGGTGATTCTAATGTGCAGCCAAGGTTGAGAACCACTGAGCTAACATTTAATGTAGCGCTTACTGTATCAGAATATTAATCTGTGCTTATATTTAATAACTCATTTAAACCTCACAACTACTGTATAAGTCATTCACTTTACAGATTAGGAAAATGAGGCTACCCAAGTCACAGTTTATAAATAGTGTTGTCAGGATTCATATCCTGGTAATATCATTCCAGAACCCAGCCTTTTAATTATGAGAGTCATTTTTAAAATTGGATAATATGATACAAAGGAACTGGTAGCAGAACTACCAGGGAATTTACTATAGTGTTTACTTATCTTACGAATCAGATACGTTAAAGGCCATATTTTGTATAAATCAGTTTTAGGGGGAACCAGTGTCTGTGTTAAATTTATTACTTTCTCCCATTGCATTTTTACTTTGGAATGTCTATATTAGAGTTGATTGAAAACTGGCATATAGTATCTGAAAGGAAAAGAAAGATAGCTTACTGAATTAAATATTTTGTGTATTTTCTTAAATTTGAAGATCAGTAATAGACGGGATTCTTCTGTTTTTAGAAACGTACTATAGGTACATCTTGAGTTGTGCATGTTTTTAATAGTCTGTGTATTAAATTAATATTTATCTAATCCTCATTACATCAGGATTAGATAAATATTTAAGTATTGATACAGAAAATCTTTCAAGATAAAAATATTTAACTTTATTTTTTAAAAATATTTAACTTTAGAAGTGTAAGTATAGTATATACTTATATGCTAGATATAGTAGGAATTTTTTTTTTTTTTAAGCATCACAGGTGATTCAGATAATGAACCAGGTTTAGGAACTACTGTATTAGTAGGCCGTACTTCCTTCTTAGTGAATTTCCAGACCTGAGATGATTTTATATGGGCTGTTAGAAAATAATTTTACACTAATTATTATTAGCAGCTTTTGCTTTCCCTGACTTTTTTCTTCTTCTCTCATTTCTCTACAATAGGTTATGCCAAAGTGGCTTCATTCATACAGATGAACCAAGGATTGGGATAGCAAGTACAAAATTAGAATCAAACAGCTGATTGCCCAGCAGGATGCCATCAACTAACAGAGCAGGCAGCCTGAAGGACCCTGAAATTGCAGAGCTCTTCTTCAAAGAAGATCCAGAGAAGCTCTTCACAGACCTCAGAGAAATTGGCCATGGAAGCTTTGGAGCAGTGTATTTTGTAAGTGTTAAAGGCTTACTGTCAGTGACCAGTAAGCCTTTATATTTACTTAATATCCAGTTCTGTCAGAGTAAAAAACAATAATACAAAGAGATATAGGCCAGAGTACATTTTATGGTCACTTGAATAGATGTGTGTGTATAATATGAGAATAGTTTTATTTATTGAGCTTCTTGGATTATTGAGAAATTCGAAAGAATATTATTTTGCTTTACCTTACATGTTTAGAATTTTTTTGAAATATATTTTTACTAGAGGTCTGGTGTATGAAATTTGTGCACTTGGGGAGGTGGGTGTCCCTCAGCCCAGCCTGTGCCCTCTCCAATCTGGGACCCCTTGGGGGATGTTCGACAGGGGTCATCCCTCTTACAATCCAGGACTGCTAGCTCCCAACTGCTCGCCTGCCTGCCTGTCTGACTGCCCCTAACTGCTTCTGCCTGCCAGCCTGATCACCCCCTAACCACTCCCCTGCCAGCCTGATCAACACCTAACTGCTCCCCTACCGGCCCGATCACACCCAGCTGCTCTTGCCTGCCAGCCTGATTGCCCACACTGCCCTCCCCTGCTGGCCTGATCGCCCCCAACTGCCCTCGCCTGCTGGTCCGATAGCCCCCAACTGCCCTCGCCTGCTGGTCCGATAGCCCCCAACTGCCCTCCCCTACCAACCTGGTTGCCCCTAACTGCCCTCCCCTGTAGGCCTGGGCCCTCCCAACTGCCCTCCCCTGCAGGCCCGGTTGCTCCCAACTGCCCTCTTCTTCTGACCCGGTTGCCCCTAACTGCCCTCCCCTGTTGGTCTGATCACCCACAACTGCCCTCCCCTGCTGGCCATCTTGTGGCCATCTTGGACCACATGGGGGTGGCCATCTTGTGTGAGGGCGTGATAGTCAATTTGCATATTACCTCTTTATTATATAGGATTGGTTTTAGAGAGAAAGGGAGACGAAGAGAGAGATAGAAACATCAATGATGAGAGAGAGAATTATTGATCAGCTGCCTCCTGCACACCCCCTGCTGGGGATCGAGCCTGCAACCCAGGCGTGCACCTTAACCAGGAAATGAACCTTGATATCCTGGTTCATAGGTTGACACTCAACCACTAAGCCACATAGGTTGAGCACATATTTAGAATTTTTAGCTCATTGTTCTATCACTTGTATTGCTATAGAATTAAACATTGCAGAACACTTGACTTCTGTAAAGTCCCAAACAGAGTCAATTTTAGTGTTGTGGAAATGAAGGATTATTATTTGGCAGAAGAGTATGAACCAGTATCTTTTTCCTAGTGTGTATGTGTGTACTTTATGCTAAAAAGAAATCAAATAACCATTTTTAAGTATATAGTTTGTGGCATTCATTATACTCACAATGTTGTACAACCATTACCACTATTGATTTTCAAATTTTTTCATCACCTCAAACAGAAACTCTGTATCTATTAGCAATACAAATTTCTCCTTCCACCCAGCCCCTGGTAACCTCTAATCTACTTTTTCTCTATAATTTGCCTATTTTAATATTTGATATAAATAGAATCATATGATACTTGTTACTTTCATGTGTAGCTTATATCACTTACAGTGGTTAGCATCTCTTCACAGGTCATCCATGTTGTAACATCTATTAGTAGTTCATTCCTTTCTATAGCTGAATAATATTCCATTGTGTGTATATACTATGGTTTGTTTATCTGTTCATCTATTGGTGGACACTAGATTGTGTCCACCTTCTGGCTATTGTGAATAAATGCTACAGTGAACTTTGGCATACAATTATTTCATTTCCTGTTTTTAAATTTTGCTGTGTTCCTAAGAGTGAAAATATCAGATCACATGTAATACTATGTTTAAGTTTTTGAGGGAATGCCAAACTACATCATAGTGTCTGCACTGTTTCCATTACCACCAGCAGGTAGCAGAGTTCCAATTTTGAGCTCGGAGTGTCAGCATTTTGAAAAACCCTAACTTAACTCTGGTGCCATGTCACATATAGACATTTTTTGATATTTGCAACCATAGTAAAACAAAGACTTATATTTTTGATATTTATTTTATATATTTAAATGCCATTTAACAAAGAAAAATCAACCAAAAAAATGAGTTCACATGTCACCTCTGACACACATGTCATAGGTTCGCGATCACTGCTCTATACCCTCACAAATGCCTATTTTATTTTATTTTGATTGTAGCCTTCCTAGTAAGTGTGAAGAGGTATCTTGTGGTTTTGATTTGCATTTCCCTAATGACTAATAATGTTGAGCATGTTTTCATGTGCTTATTGGCCATTTATATATCTTAGGAGAAATGTCTATTTAAGTCCTTTTCCCATTTTTTTAAAGTTAGGGTTTTGTCTTTGTTGTCGATGCCTCAGGGTTCTTTATGTATTCTTTTTTCTTTATTTTTTTTATAACAATATATATATATATATTTTTTTTATTCCTTAAAAAATATACTTTATTGATTTTTTACAGAGAGGAAGGGAGTGGGATAGAGAGTTAGTAGAAACATTGATGAGAGAGAAACATCGATCAGCTGCCTCCTGCACATCTCCTACTGGGGATGTGCCCGCGACCCAGGTACATGTCCTTGACCGGAATCGAACCTGGGACCCTTGAGTCCACAGGCCAACGCTCTATCCACTGAGCCAAACCAGTTAGGGCTCTTTATGTATTCTTAATATTAAATTTTTATCAGATACAGACTTTGCAGATATTTTCTCCCATTTCCTAGTTTTTCTCACGTTCTTGAAAATGTTTTTGATGTGCAAAAGTTTTAAATTTAGATGAAGACCAATTTATCTGTTTTTTTCTTTTGTTGTTTGTATTTTTGGTGTCATATCTTAGAATTCATTGCCAAATCCAGATTATGAAGATTTACCCCTGTGTTTCCTTCTAAGAGTTTTATGTTCTTAGCTCTTACATCCATTTTGAGTTAATTTTTGTACGTGTTGTGAGGTGGAGGTCTGGCTTTATTTTTTTGCATGTGAAAATCCAGTTATCCTAGTGCAGTGATGGCGAACCTATGACACGTGTGTCAGGTGACACGCGAACTCATTTTTTTGGTCGATTTTTCTTTGTTAAGTGGCATTTAAATATATAAAATAAATATCAAAAATATAAGTCTTTGTTTTACTATGGTTGCAAATATCAAAAAATGTCTATATGTGACACGGCACCAGAGTTAAGTTAGGGTTTTTCAAAATGCTGACACGCCGAGCTCAAAAGGTTCGTCATCACTGTCCTAGTGCCATCTGTTGAAGAGATTATTTTTCCCTCATTGCATTTTCTTGACTTCCTTGTCAAATCAATTAGCCATATTGTATAGGTTTATTTCTGAACTCTCAGTTCTATTCTCTTTGTCTGTGTATTCATCTTTGTGCTAATATATCACCATTTTGATTAATACGGCTTCGTAGTAAGTTTGCAGTCAGGAATAACTTTGTTCTTTTTAAGTATAATTTTGGCTATTTTTTGGCCCCTTGTAATTCCATATGAATTTCAGGATTGGCTTTTCCATTTCTGTTAAAAAATATGTTGGAATTTTGATAGGGATTGCTTAAATGTATAGATCATGTTTGTAGTATCGGCATCTGAATCAGTGTTAAATATTTCTTTTTCTTTTTTTTTTTAAAACAAATTCACATTTTATTTACGTCGAAATAAACTGTACAAAATTGACTTTCTTCACCAAAAATAACAGCAATATTTTCTGTATTATTCCTAGATAAGCTACAAAACACATTTTTGTGGATTGTCTAGGACTAGGTTTTGCTTATAAATCAAGACGAGGCAGTAGATGTAATCATGAAAAAAGACAGAATAAAACAGACCAATCTGTTGTCAGTATCCATGGCCTCTGATCCTGGCTTGACCATGAAACAGAAGTGTTCAACATATACTTGCTAAAAAGCTTATGAAGATATAGGCTCAACAAAGGAATATAACAGCCACACCCAGATGTGGAAGGCAGGTTCTTCCTTCAATGTTTAACAGTAACTTGTTTAAGATTATCGAGTAAAGACAAAATTTACACTGAAATCCTTGTTTGGCAAGCTCACGTTTCTTTCACTCTCTGGTAATTTAACTGTTCATTACAGATTTTTAATAGTAAATTTAAAACTCCTGCTATTCAAAGGTTAGTCGTGAGCTTCACGCTTTCGTCCATTTTCATAGCGTTCATTCTCAACCTTCATCACAGGAAGAATACATAGGACCTTCAGCAGTGCATAAACATTAGGAAAAAACTTGATGTCTGGCAGGTGGAGGGCTTCATAAATGGTGGTTGGAAGCTCTATATCTTTTCCTCTGTGTTTCCACTTGTGAATCAGTGTTAAATTTTTTAATCCATGAACACAGAATGTCTTTCTAAACATTCATTTAGAGATTCTTTAATTTTGTTCAGCAATGTTCAATGTATAGGTGTTAAACTTCATTGCTTAAATGTATTCATCAGTCTATTATTCTTTTAGATACTGTTGTAATTGGAATTACTTGCTTAATTGCCATTTAGATTGTTCATTGTTGCTGTATAGAAATACAGCTGATTTATGTGTATTGATCTTTTTTATTACTTATTTTTCAATTACAGTTGGCATACAATATTATATTAGTTTCAGGTGTACAACATAGTGATCAGACATTTATATCCCTTACAAAGTGATCAATCCATAAGTCTAGTACCCATCAGATACCATAGTTATTAAAATAATAACTATATATTAATTAAATTAATAAGTAATTAACACATTATTAATTATGTTGTACTTTACAACTCTATGACTATTTTTATAATTGGAAATTTGTAAATTTTAATCCCTTTCACCTTTTCACCCATCCCTCCACCTTCATCCCTCGTCTGGCAACTGTCAGTTTGTTCTCTGTATCTATGAGTTTGTTTCTGGGTTTTTTGTTTATTTTGTTTTTTAGATTACACATATAAGTGAAATCATATGGTATTTGCCTTTCTCTGTCTGACTTATTTCACCTTGCATAATACCTTCTA